ATTTTTAAATGTTGTATTTCTATATTTCTATGCTTAATGTTTTCTATAAAAAGTAGACTTTGTTGATTTATTTTTATTTTATATTTTTAGAGATAGGGTCTCATTCTGTCACCCAGGCTGGAGTGCAATGGCATGATCATTGCTCACTGTATCCCCACAGCGTCAAACTCCTGGATTCAAGCAATCCTCCTGCCTCAGACTGCAGAGTAGCTAGGACTGTAGGTGTGTGCCTCACCTGGCTTATTTTTTTAAATTTTTTGTAGAGACAGGGTCTCACTTTGTTGCCCAGGCTAGTCTTGAACTCCTGGCCTCAAGCTGTCCTCCTGCTTCAGTCCCCCAAAGTGCTGGGATTACAGCCATGAGCCAATGCACCTGGCCAACTTTATTTTTAGAGCAGTTCTAGGTTCACAGCAAAATTGAAAAGGTGGAAGTTTCCGGTTTACTTCACCCCCACCCCCATGCATACATGGCCTCCCCTATTATTAGCATTCCCCCACCAGATCGGTATATTTTTTACAATTGATATGCTTATTAACCTTTTATTTTATAGTCTCAAAAGGAATGTCTATTTAAGAAAATCATTTCTATTTCTTCGAGAGCCCATACCAATACAGTACTGATAGCTTTAATGTTTTTAAAATATTAATAGTTTATTATGAATATCCTGAATTGATTGAATACTCTGAATTAAATGTTATTCTATTTTAAAAGTAATATAGATTTAATGTAAAAATTAGAAAATTCACACAAAGAAGAAACTAAAGATGAAATATGTACTGTTATATTTGGCACATATCCTTCAAGACTTTAGTTTGTACATATATATGTGTCAGATATACACATCAGTGCTACCGATGTGTAAACAAAGTTCTGCTTTGTATTTTAGGTTTTTAAACTGTCAGAAGCACTAGGTATGTATGTATGTATGTATGTGTGTATGTAGAGACAGTTTCACTCTTGTTGCCCAAGTTTTTAAACTGTCAGAAGCACTGTTTATTTATTTATTTTAAAGAGTTTCGCTCTTGTTGCCCAGGCTGGAGTGCAATGGTGTGATCTCAGCTCACTACAACCTCTGCCTCCTGGATTCAAGAGATTTTCCTGCCTCAGCCTCCCAAGTAGCTGGGATTACAAGTGCTCACCACCACTCTCGGCTAATTTTTTGTATTTTTATTAGAAACAGGGTTTCACCAGGTTGGCCAGACTGGTCTCGAACTCCTGACCTCAGGTGATCCACCCGCCTCAACCTCCCAAAGTGCTGAGATTACAGGCATGAGCCACCGTGCCTGGCCAGCACTTTTACTTAATTCAGAGTTATAAACTTATTGATTGCTGTACCAGAGAGGCAAGAAACCAAGTTGTTGTAATAAAACGTTTTGGCAAGAGGGTCCTGATTTCTATATGGAATGACAGGAAAACAAAGTAGAAAAATTTGTCACTGAAGATAGAAAATATAGGATAGTTCCATGTAATCTTAGTTACAACTTTTCTCAACTTTATCAGTAAACAGGTTACTTGTTTAGCAACCCATGAATATATTCTATATTTTCTAGCCTCTTACAGCACAGCAAAGGAATTTATAACACAAAAGTTGAATGAACAAGATGTTTTTACATTCAAGTAATTTAGTTTTTAGTTTCTGTTGATTTTTTTTGTCAGTCTTCTCACCATAGTTTCTATTTTATCAAAAGCTGCTTCCCATTTTAAAGGGAGCATCACGTCTCATTTTATATTTGTCTGTGTTAGAGTAGTGTATTTTCAACTTAGGCTGCCACAGCAAAATACAATAGACAGGCAAAATACCATTGCCTTCCTGCTGTCCCCACTTGGAGGGGAAGAAGAGAGAGGGAGAGAGCACAGGAACTGAGCTCTTTCTCTTTTTATAAGGCCTCAGCTTTACAGACGAGGATCCCACCCTTACGATCTTGCTTTAACCTTAATGAATTATGCAAGACCCTATCCTCCAGATACAGTCGCTTTGGGAGTCTTCAATATAGAGATTTGGGGGAGACATGAGTCAGTCCATAGCAAATAGGCATGTGTTCTTTTGTTCCCACAACACGGTTTTTTACCTGGCTGCTTTCTCTCATTTAATATATTGTGGCTGTCTTTTCATGTCAGACCATACAGATCTTTATCTCATGTCACTTAACAGCTGCATGGATTTCCATGGTAAGGATATACCATCATTTATTTTCCTATTTCCATATTGATAAACATCAGGGAAAATCAAAAGTAGGCTTTGGTGTCACGTTTACAGTCCTAAAGCCTAAAGCTATTTCCTTTTGTCATTTTTAAATATTGTAATTTGAGTAAAAGCCCAACGGAAATAATTTTAAGCTTAAAAAATTTTAAGAAGTAGTAAGTTCACATGATTTGCATAACTCTTAATTAGGAAGCTTGAATTTAATTATATTTTTTCTAGTTAAACACAAGTGGCTGAACTATTAGGGATAGAATTTCTTGGCCATTAATGACTGAATAACCTTAAAGATTGCTTGTAAGTTCACAGGTTAATACGTATTTATTATTCATACTTAAAGAGAAAGCCATGAGTAGTAATGTATCTGTGTTGCATACATGTTAGGTTCCTTGCTTGAAGAATTGCTGATTACTTATTTGCTATGGGAAATAAATAAGGTGGTTCTTTTGTAGAACGTAATCATTCTTGCAGACTACTACTTGAATTTGTTGAAGTGGAACTCAACAAGGTTTTTGGATCACTTTTTTTTTTTTTCCATTTGTTTTATTGCATTTTAGGTTTTGGGGTACATATGAATAACATGCAAGATTGTTGCATAGGTACACACGTGGCAGTGTGATTTGCTGCCTCCCTCCCCATTACCTACATCTGGCATCTCTCCCCTTGCTATCTCTCCTGGATCACTTTTTTACTGTAACATTGATTTTATCAGATCTCTTCTTGTATTTAGCTATTTGGTATAATTTCATTCTAATTAGGAAAAGCAGCAAGAAATTCTTAATGGACATATTTGAAAGGGCTTTTCACCTAGAATGTAGATTTTTTTCTTTTATCTTTTAAAAAACCTTTAATTGAAATATATAGATGGCATACAGGTTCTAATATGAAATCTACTTCCACTCCATATAATATGAAATTCAGTTACCACTGAATCCAGTATTGTGTTTACAACTTTTTATAGGGGAGATATTTTATAGCTTTCAACAAAATTTTCAAACAATAAATTTTCAAATTGGTGAGGTGCTGGGAGTGACATTGGCCATGGTGGTAGTGAAGATAGTAAATCAGCAACTGCCGTAATAGGCACCAATTGATTCATTGTAGACTCTAACATATTAAAGATCTTCTGGTATTTTTATTAAGAAAAAATATTAGTAACTGAAAAGGAGAGCTTGGGTAACCTGGGACCTGGCACAATTCAAACTGGTACAATGAGATTCTCTGTTTTTTATATATAAAGAAAGTAGGCTAGATTGCCTTATCCCAGGGCTCAGCTCTGGACCAGACCCAACTCTTAGTAAGATCTTACTCTTTTAACAAAAGCCAGGAGTAATAGAAGCAATACTTGCATTTCTGTGACTTACAGGGCAATACATAGATATGGTGTTTTAAAAAAATAATAACAGATAAAAATTAAACATTTGAGAAATATATTAACAGTGTTATAAGCAAATATATATTGACTTGGAAATGTGAAGCCAGTAGATCTCAAATACTTTAATTCTATTATCCCCCATAGGGTTATCATTGAGGATGAATTTATATCCTTTGTCCCATGTGTCCCACCCTACTCCCCCTAAAAAAAATATGGTCATGCAGTTGGGACTAAAATAGCTACTATTATTGATTCCTCCTTTAACCATGATAAAAAGTCTTTAAAATTAAAGTTTCTTGGCCAGGTTCGGTGGCTTACACCTGTAGTCCCAACACTTTGGGAGGCTGAGGTGGGCAGATCACTTGCAATCAGGAGTTCAAGAGCAGCCTGGCCAACATGATGAAACCTCATCTCTACTAAAAACACAAAAATTAGCAGGGTGTGGTGGTGGGCACCTGTAATCCCAGCTACTTGGGAGGCTGAGGCAGGAGAATCAATTGAGCTCAGGAGGCAGAGATTGCAGTGAGCCAAGATTGTACCACTACACTCCAGCCTAGGTGACAGAACAGAGACTCTTGTCTCAAAAAAAAAATATATATATATATATATATATGGTGTTAATTTGTTTAGGTTTTAATTTTCATAGGATAAAAAGTTGTATATAGTTTTTTTTTTTTTAATATTTTTTAAGAAGTAGAGTATCAGGTGGGACGCGGTGGCTCATGCCTGTAATCCCAGCACTTTGGGAGGCCGAGGTAGATTGATCACCTGAAGTCGGGAGTTCAAAACCAGCCTGACCAACATGGAGAAACCCCGTCTCTACTAAAAATACAAAATTAACTGAGTGTGGTGGTGCATACCTGTAATCCCAGCTACTCGGGAGGCTGAGGCAGGAGAATCACTTGAACCCAGGAGGCAGAGGTTATGGAGAGCCAAGATCCATTGCATTCCAGCCTGGGCAACAAGAGTGAAACTCTGTCTCAAAAAAAAAAAAAAGTAAACTATCAACTAAATTTTTTCTGTTAGCGATGAGATCTGCAGTGCCAACATTTTTATTAATTTTGAGTAAAAATGTATGTTCTATAATAACAGTGATAACTTGCAAAAGTTCCATTCTGAACATTGTCGGAATATTTAAAAGCGTAATGAATTTTGGTTTTCCTATGTTCATTTATTATGGCAAATACGTCACACACACACACAGACACACACACACACACACACACACACCTTAAATAATAGGAAATAAAATCAAATAACAAATTCCCATTCTTTTAAAAAAAAGTTTTATAGAATTTAATCAAATAAAAGGCACAATATGGTATTGGTAATAATTTAGAATGTGATTGAAATGAAAAGCCTGTGAGTCTTTTTAACTTAAAAAAATTTTAGATGTATACTAAAATAATCATTGTCTTCTTTCAGATAAATTTGCGCCTCATTTTGGTAAGCGGAAAAACAAAAGAGTTCCTGTTTTCTCCTAACGATTCTGCTTCTGACATTGCAAAGCATGTATATGACAATTGGCCAATGGGTGAGTGATATTTTTCTCTTGAGCATGAATAATGTTGATTCTTTATGCCCTAGCTTGTCTCACAAACATTTTGAAACTGTTATAAACATGTAACTTTTAAAAGAACAACTAAAACTTGAGAGTATAAGGCTCAGATTTAGAGGTTCATTGTATCCTTCCTTATCTTGCTCTTCAACTGTCTCATTCTCAAATGGTAAAGGAGCCCAGGATGCAATGGCTCTGCTTCTGCTTTAGAACTGTTTAAATGTAAGTGAACACACTAAAAAAATTTTTTTTGTTTTTGAGATGGAACCTCACTCCATTGCCAGGCTGGAGTGCAGTGGCACCATCTCGGCTCACTGCAGCCTCCGGCTCACTGCAACCTCCACCTCCCAGGGTCAAGTGATTCCCCTGCCTCAGCTTCTGGAGTAGCTGGGACTACAGGCGCACGCCACCACACCCAGCTAATTTTTGTATTTTTAGTATAGACAGGGTTTCACCATGTTGGCCAGGATGGTCTTGACCTCTTGACCTTGTGATCTGCTCACCTCGGCCTCCCAAAGTGCTGGGATTACAGGTGTCAGCCACTACCACAGCCAGCCAAAAAATATTTTTAATAAAGAAAAATGCAGCCAGGGATGGTGGTTCATACCTGTAATCCCAGCACTTTGGGAGACCAAGGCAGGAGGATTGCTTGAAGCTAGGAGTTTGCAACCAGCCTGTGCAACATAGAAATATGTCATCTCTACTAAAAATTTAAATATTAGCCAGGCATGGTTGCACATGCCTGTAGTCCCAGCTACTTGGGAGGCTGAGGCAGGAGGATCACTTGAGGCCAGGAGTTTGAGGCTGCCATGAGCAATTATCACACCACTACACTCCTGCCTGGACAACAGAGCAAGACCTTGTCTCAAAAGAAAAGAAAAGAAAAAACACAAAATAGTGAATATGCACACACCTTCGTATCAATAAACCAATTTTTACCAAAACACAAAGAGGAAAGAACCACTATTTTTAACAGATGATAATACATTCTCTACGATCTTCTTTAGTTAGTCTATTTAAAATTGAGTTTGAAACAAAGTTAACTTCTAATTCATGTCAGTTCTTATATTCTCTGAACTACTACAAGGTCAAGATGATTAATGTCCGTCTGTGCTTTGCATTTTCAAGCCAGTAACCATAACAGTCTTGTAAAATGTGTGTGTTATTTCTTCCTTTCTCTGATTTTTTATATAATGCTAAGACTGTTGGCTGGGCATGGTGGCTCAATGTCTATAATCCCAGCACTTTAGGAGTCCGAGGCAGGCAGATCACTTGAGGTCAAAGAGTTCAAGACCAGCCTGGCCAACATGGTGAAACACTGTCTCTACCAAAAATAGAAAATTTAGCAGGGTGTAGTGGTGTGCCCCTGTAATCCCAGCTGCCCAGGAGCGTGAGTCAGGAGAATCTCTTGAACCCAAGAGGCAGAGGTTGCAGTGAACCAAGATCACACCTCTGCACACTCCAACCTGGGTGACAACAGAGCGAGACTCTGTCTCGAAGAAGGTGTGGGAGGGGAACAACTTGCCTTCCTCAAATGAATCTGTGGTTTATTTTCTTCCTTTGGACTTCCCTAAATGTCATCTTGATCCTATGTCATGTATCATAGTGATATGATTTTTTTCAGCTGATTTCACTTTAATTTTATTAGCAGAAGCAGTTTGAACTTTTAAAGGACAAGGCTTGTTTTGACAGCATAGTATATGTACACAATGAATCAATTAGGTCAGTGTTTCTCAACCTTAAATAATATATTGAACTTTTCTAGAGGAAGACAATTCTTGTAGATCTCTAGTGCTGACTTAAATTATTTTTATTATAATGCATATTTTAAAATGTGGAAATGTAAACTCAAACTCTTATTCTTGTTAACTCATATACACAATCATAAAAATAAAGATCGATTCAGAAAATGCAAATATAACTCTGAAACCAATAATGTTCAAATTAACAACATTAATGTGCTAGATGATGTATGTTTGCCAAAGCCTACTCACTGCTTACCCCATGAATATTGTTGAGTTTGTCATGCCTGTGTTCCTACATAGTGTTTGATGAGCAAGTTACCTGTAGAGTCGCCATAAAACCTTTATTTATACAGTATAACATTGTCATTCAGTTTTCTCTTAGATACAATGCATCGTTTGCCTGTTAAGTGAACCTCTGTTCTTATCTCTTTAGTGTCTTAATTAAAGGATTACTGAGTGCTTGGCACCAGTACAATCGTAAATTTAATGCACACGTGAGTACTAAAATCCCAAGGCTGCACTTGGTTATAAAGTGACTATTTAAATCATCTACATAATCTCTTCCAGATTTCATAAACGTAACAGATTTTATAGATTTTAATTAAAATGAAAATAGAATTTAAAACTTATTGAAAAGGACTTTTAGACCCTAAGAACACATGTCTTTGTGGATTCATAGGCCTAAATTTAAGAAATACTGATTTACACACAAATACTTTCAACTACTGGATCTTTCCTCCCATTAGTAACCAAGGGGCTAGTTTCTAAATCAGGGAGATACTGGAGCTATAAGGTTATAGCTAAGAAGGAATTTTACAAAAGCCAAAGAAGACTAAATTTGGGCTCTAGAATATTGGCTATTCTTTATAGCCCGGCAGGAATAGATAACTATCAGTGTGAAAAGCATTTAAAAATATCTGAGGGTGATGTTCTAAGTGAGATACAAAAAGATTACTTTTATGAGATTTTTTTCGGGGGGGTGGTGGTTGTAGAAATAGCTTTTGATATATGGATATTACAGAAGAGATAACACAAGGCAAAAAAGGGTAATCACTGAAATTTATTTGGGCAATATTATAACGAGGTAAAATAAATACTTTTACTTGCATAATTACTTAGATATTAAAATTAGTTTAAATTTCTTAAAAAGATCCTGATTAAAGGTAAGCAAAACTCAAGTATAAGTCTTTGCCATAAATAGAATCCCAAATGAACAAACCATCTACCAGTACTGAAAATTGATTGTGTCAGTGGATTTTCCCTTATTTTTTTTTAAAAAAAGACTCTGATTCCCAGTATTTCCTCAGGTTGCCAAATCTATTCAGCAGTTTTATATACTGCAAGGAATAAAGAGAAATACTTTAATTTTTATTTTATTTAAAGTATTTAAATTAAAAATCTAAGTCTATATTGTATGACATAACATTATAAAGATCAGCAAATGTAAATACTTATTGATCCTAATAACAAATGTGCGGCAAATATTAAATCAATAAAAGAAAATACTTTGTGCAATTTACTTGTTGAAAAAAATAGTTTTTCTTAGTATACCCTTATGTTATTTAGTGGAAATATTACTAACGGGTGGAATAGTAAGACACATAGCTGTTACTGGATCAAAGGTTCAAAGAAATCTGTTACACTTAGGATATGTTAATAACACCTGAAATTCTTCATTTAAGCTATATTCTAAGGTTTCTCTAAATTTCAGATCCTTGGCGAGGGGAAGAAAGATAGCATATTACACTGATGGGTGTGTACATGGAAATCATGACACTCTGTATAAGATAATGAAACATGTGGCTTCGGGTTTCTGCATCTCAAAAAAATTTTCAAGTATTTTTAGAATATTAGTCTTTGTTTCTGGTGAATTAAACAATTACTGTTATTTACCTTTGTATCTATGGAGCCCTTCCATCTTGACCAGAAATATTCTATTAAACAATAATTTGGGAAGTGATGAATTCAAAGCAGTTCATACTATAGTGTTAGAGACATTCGATCTTTGTTCCAGAATAGGAGGGACCTGGGAGCAATGGGATCAGAAGGCAACAAAGGCTTGCTGAAGAGAGAAGGGGAAACAGACTAAAGGCGTGGGGCGGGGGGCAGGAAAGGATTGGGATTCATTTCTCCTCTGCCGATTTCTGCTGTGCCTAAGTCACCTAGAGGCAATGGTTTTGTCAAATTCATATTCATCCTTTTGAACAGTCAAAAAATAAAAGTCAAAAAAAAAAAGTCTGTAATTACTTCCTTTCTCTTCTATCACTCTCTCTTTTCAGAATATTTTATTTTTTGTGTTAACCATTATCCCTTTCTATAGGAAACAAACATATTAGAATTATTGACAAAAAAGACAAAGGAATTCTCATATCATTAATAAAATCAAAGGTTAAATTGTTACATCTACAAGCTCATGAAAATTACTAACCCTTACCCTATCATAACACCTTAAGTGTCCTTAAATCTTTAATGGAGTGATTTCCATATTTTACTATAATATAAATTATAGGCTGAAGTTAAATATTCTGTTACCTCTTCTGCCTGCTAATTTGTCTTTTGATTTTCTTTGTACACTTTTCTGGCTTTCATATTTGTACAGTACCTCCTAATATATATTATTATTTGGGTTTCTTCTAAGTCTTCATTTTGGGTGAGGTGAACTAAAGTTGTGTCTTCTCTAATGTTTACTAACTGACTTCAAAAAGACAATAAGATAATCAACATTATCCAAAAGTAAATACTTAATTTTTTTGTTATTCTCAGTATCGATATTTTAATTGTTTTTTAGATCTTTGTTAAGCCTGCTGTTTTTTACTACTCGGTAGGTCTTTCCCAACTCATTTGTGTTAACTTTGTAAACTTGGGGACTACAATTTGGTTCATTTTAGTATTCTTTAAGAAGCAAAAACAAGTCTTTCTGTAGCTCTTGCTACTTAACAAGAAGAGTAAGCAAGAACCAAGGTTGTGGTGAATATATGAATGGCTACCATTTTGAATAGTTGGAAGCTCCAAGAGTCTTCTTTGTATTCTAACTGATTTGGGCCTGAATTTTTAAAACAATATATTAGTACTGTAATTATTTTGTTAGAATATACCTAACCAGTTCACTGGATTCTTTTCAGACTGGGAAGAAGAGCAGGTCAGCAGTCCAAATATTCTTCGACTTATTTATCAAGGACGATTTCTACATGGAAATGTCACTTTAGGAGGTAACAGCCACCTTTGTAATAGGATTTAATGTCTGTCTTTTGGTAGCATGATTCATTTGTTTTAAATGCTAATGTCTTTGTATTTACTAAAAAAAGGATAAATTCAAACTGAATTCTGCCTATTTCTGGTATGCCTACTCCTTCATATTGTATATTCTGTTAAATTTAATTTTAGGACTGTAATAAGTATTAACTACCTTGTGAAATAAACTCTATCCCAGTATAGGTAGGATTCTATACTGTACCTACTATTTTATAAATGTAATGTTATTATATTTCTGAATAATGTAATTCAGATATAGTATTTTAAACTTAAGACTGGACACACAAACTAGGAAAAATTTATGATAGTTTTCAGATATATGAAGGGATGTTTTCAGATGTTTCTATCTGACACAATTGCTAATCATGCTAATCGTGAGAATAAAAGTGGCTGACATTAGGGCAACATTTTAGTGTAGTAGCTGAAGGAACAGATTTTGGAACTAGACTGCTATGTGTTAGCTTCATTACTTTCTGGCTGGTATAAACTTTGGTCAAGTGACTTAACCAGCCTGTGTTCCAGTTTCCTCATCAGTAAAATGAGATTACAGTAGTGCCTACCTCATAGGTTAAGAAAGGGTAAATTAGTTTATATATTCAAAGTGCTTGCATGCATAAATTGTGCTTGGCACATAGTAAACACCTTAATTGTTAGCTATTATTGTTCTTTATGATTGCAGAAATGTAGCTCAGTAGTGCCCCCTTATGGGGTACATTTTCTACCATCAACTGGATTTGTTTTGTTTTGCAAAGAGGTATTTCAAATATATTCAGATAAGTGGAAATTTATAGGCAAATGAAATGATCTATTTAAATATATATTTATTCCACTAAATGTAGTGTGAATTTTCCCCTCTAAAGCTAATATTTAATCTATTTTTCCTTAAAGGTAGAATATTTACATTTATTCATTCAGCATGTATTTATTTTTTTTCTTTTCTTTTTCTTTTTTTCTTTTTTATTTTATTTTATTTTTTATTTTTTTAATTGCATTTTAGGTTTTGGGGTACATGTGAAAAACATGCAAGATTGTTGCATAGGTACACACGTGGCAGTGTGATTTGCTGCCTTCCTCCCCATCACCTATATCTGGCATTTCTCCCCATGCTGTCTCTCCCCAACTCCCCACCCCCCCGCTGTCCCTCCCCTGTTTCCCCCACAACAGACCCCAGTGTGTAGTGCTCCCCTCCCTGTGTCCATGTGTTCTCATTGTTCAACACCCACCTATGAGTGAGAACACAGCATGTATATATTAAATTCTTATGTGCCAACACTGTGCTCAGCACTTGGGAATACAGTATTGAATAAGACAGAAGCTCTCCCTTGAGGATGTTCTAGTATTACACAGGACAAACAGATAAAATCCACTGGTAAAAATACTGGGCAATAAGGGCCAAAGTAGATGAATGCAAATGATTTTATGGCAGTATCACATAAGTAAAAAATTTCGGGATATAATCTCACACTAAGTTTCACTAGTAGTAGTATAACTGGTCTAAAAAAATGCTGCTGTCTACCAAGAAATATCTGGTACTTTAAAATATAGCTTTTTTTTTAATTTATAGCTCTTTTTATAGCTTTTGTGTAAACAGACAGACCAACTCTTAATGCTCTTAATATAAGGAATGACTATAAGCTCCCTGGCTATATTGTACATTTATTAAGGATCAGGCCATGTTGTTGTGTTTGTAAAATTCTCTATGGCTCATACAAGATCTTATGTGAATTAAAAATTGGTAAATGATGGTTGTAATTAATCTATTGATTATATGAGTGAACCTTGAAATGCTCCATTTCCCTTTGAGTATTGATCTATGTGAGCAATTTCCCACCAACTGCATTCGTTAATTGTCTTTTCTGTTGTGACCTCAAAGTTTGAACTTCATATTAAAAATCATAGAATTTGTTAAAAATCTAAATTATTGATTCATTCCGACTAAAGTATAAATTTTTACCAGTATTTTTTTTTTGAAATTTGTTTTAGAATAATTGACAGATTGACTTATGTAATTGTTATTGTCATTTTGTGTTGCTGTCCTTCTTTTCAAAAACAATAAATTATCTCTGGCCTAAGTGATTTAGACAGCGTAGAAGCATGACCTGGACCTCCGCGTTAATCATTGTAGCTGTGTGTTTGAGCAAGTTTGGATAACATCATTAAACTATTTGTCTTTTGGGTCTCAGTTTTTCTTTTTAGCCTCCCTGTATCCTTCAATGTGAATAATAAAGAAGAGAGCACACAGGGAAATGCAACCATCTTTAAATATTTGAGTGGCTGGTGTGGAAGAAGGCTTTGCGTGGCCCTAGAACTTACTCTACGTAGCCCTGTGAATTAGACTTAGAATCAATAACTGGAAATCAAAGACAGTTTTCTATTCAATATAGGAAAGAATATGTAAACACATTGAACTAGCTAAAGAAAGAATAGACTGCCAGGGAAAGTTAGTGAGATCCTTGTTATAGATGGTGGTCAAGCAGTGAATTACCACGACACAGCCGTGAGTGGAATTCAGCCATTATGCGGACAGTTAAAGTAGGAAGCCTGGGCCTTCTCTGTCATTCTTGAATTGAATCCCCCTTTTGAGATGAACCTTTATAGTCAGAGAGAGTTTCAGTTCATTAAAGGAAAGGTGTGACAGCAGCCTTGTTAATTGGAGGGTGAAGATGATGATTAGCTAGAGCTTTGGCATTCAATATGTCTCAGATTAGCATTTCCAAAAACATGGTTCTGAAATAGTGGGCATAAGACTCATCTAGGATACTTATTTTAAAATGCAGATTTCTGCATGCCCTCTGTCCGCAGCCCCCATCTCCTAATTCTACTACTGAATTGAATTCCTGGGTGATTTTTACATATGCTAACGGTTGAAACCTCTATTCTGGATATCGTACGAATGTCATAGGAGAAAGCAGAAGCACCCACAGTAAAAGGAAGATGTTGCATTTTAGATTCTGGCATTCCTCTTCTTTCACATTTTTAAATATTATTAACATCAATACCTACTATTTCTAGTTAAAATTCAGTAAAATTCAGATGGAGAAGAAAGATAACAGCTCCCATGCATTACATTTGTAACTTCAAATGGTAAGCCTCTCAGGAGCTCTCTAGTAGGCCTGTCTGACTTTTTTTTACATTTGTGTCTCAGTTCACCCACCTTTTTTCTCAGATTCATTTTCCTTGGTATCTCAAAATGATGATGGTAGTATACACTGAATGCTTTCTTTGTGCCAAGCTCTGGGCAAGTATTTTGCTTGGATTGTTTCATTTAATGTACACAGATGTAAAGGGCAGGTAATAGAATTAGTATCTCCAGTTCAATCGAGGAAACAGAAGCTTAGAGACAGGGTAAGTAATTATCTGAGAGTTACACAGTTGGAAGTAGCAGAGATGAAAATTTTGAATCCAGGTCTGTCTATTATTAGAGTCAAGAGGATGATTATGAGAATGATATACAGCTTGGTATGTGTGCATTTTAAGTTCAGTTCAAGGTTTAAAATGTTGATCAGGCTTCCCCAAGTATTTAGTGAAAATTTTAATAACATAAAGTCTTATTTACATTTTAATTTAAGTCAGGCCTAGGAAGTTATTCTAAAAGCCTCCCTTTTTTCATTATGTATTTGTGGGCCATGGTGCTTCATTTGAACATCAGAGGTTAAAAGTGTAGACCAAATAACGGCTGGCTAACTTTAAATAAGATGAGAACTCACCTTGAACATTATGATTCTTATGATTATGATAATAATCATAAAATTTTATAATTATGATTTTATAATAATAGATTTTATCATAATTACAGTAATTATGATTCTCTTAAAAATATGCATGTTAACCATCATCCTATAGAGCAAGTTTTAAAAAGCAGGCAGCTGGAGGATCACTCTTGCTAAATAATGATCATAAGCCTTACATCAGTTTGTAGTTTTTGAAGAGGAGGTAGTTTGAGGTGTCAGAACTAAAATATCACAACTATAGAAACAGTTCTGGAAGTTAAATACACCAGCTGCTTCTGATTTTATATACAGAGTAACAAGGGGATTTACCATGAAACTCAGTGTTTGTATTTGCCTTAGTGGACATGGGTGTGTATTGTATGTCTAAAATATTTCATAATAAAATTTATTAAATTTATGAGTGAAAAAAATGTCATAAAGACTTGATTAGGAAACAATGATTATTGGTAATGTCAAGACAGTGATTATTTTAACCTAATCTTTTTAAGAAAATTCTAATGGACAAATACAGGAGTGAGAATAAATGTTTAAAATCAAGTTAGTTTCTTGCATTTCTACATCATAGTAGCCTGTTCAGTGCAGTAATTTTATTAGGCAATTGACAAGTACTTAGATTTAGAAATGAATATCTCTTAATCTAAACTTTCCCCTAATCTAGAAAAGAATATTCTTTAAAAAAATGTTTAATTTTTTCTCGTCTAAAGGTTGTCTCTGATATTAGCTAATTGCATACTTTTTCTATCATTTCTTAAATAATAGAGATAAATGTGTCAAGCAAATGGCTATAACTCTGAAGAATAATTTTTAAATTTAAAATGTTTTTTTTGATAATATTAATCTAATTTTGTAAAGGTACTCTGAGTTGAGAAGTTCAATCTGTTGAGAAAGTCATAAAAAGGCAATCAATTTTTAAAATGGATTTAAATCTGGTTAGTGATTTTAATAGGTCGATATATGTGTAACTAATTGTCTTTTGCTTTTCACATAGCATTAAAACTTCCTTTTGGCAAAACTACAGTGATGCATTTGGTGGCCAGAGAGACATTGCCAGAGCCAAACTCTCAAGGTAAGCCATGCACTGGAAAAGTGTCTCAGTTGATGCACAAAGACAGGCATTCAAAAACTCTGGGTTTTTCTTGGACATTCTGAGGGAAGGGAAGTTTGCATGAATATAGATTGTCAAGCAAGTAACCAGACATTTTTGAAACATGCTAAAATTAAAAGAACATTTATTACACCTTTCTAATTTTGGAAAAGTGCAAACATTTAAAAAAACCCAAAACCACATCCTACACTTGATTGCCTTTCCCTTCCAGTTCTAGAATTTTTATAAATGAGGCTCTTCTTCGTTTTCTCTAGGTCAGAGGAATCGTGAAAAGACTGGAGAGAGTAATTGTTGTGTAATCCTGTAAACACTGTCTGCCTAGTGTGATGTGATATAGTCTTTGTCTTTCATGCTGCTGGGACAGAAAAGACCCAACATTGCTTCAGAAACTGTTCAGAACAGTCTGCCTGTAAATCCATGGAACTGAATTACCACATGAACACTGTCATCTTTTCCCATGAAAGTAAAAAGAACCCAAGAACATTTTTCACTATGATTTTTTATTTCTTATATTTTTATGTTTAGCCATTTTAAAACATGTTGGTTTTTGAATGCAGTCAGTCTCCAGGGGAAAAACTAACAAGTTATCTTTCGTAGCAGAAACCATTTTGCTGCCACAAAATTTTCATCATCAGAACTAATAATTCAAGTGTTCCAAATACAATTTGCACTAAAAAAGATTGACATTATTTTCCTCATCAGCAGAATTTATAACAGTTTATGGTACCTAGAAATACTTATATATATATAATTCCACACTAGAAGACACTCAGCAATTAATGAAGTTAATTACTGGGCAAACTTGAGAGGAAAAAATGGAAAAGAAACTAAAATGTTGGGTGAATTCTACCAAAGTCAGCTGTGGTGGCTGCACCGGCACAGAATACTAAACTGAGTGTGACTATTTTCACTGCAACAAATGAAAAAATGTGCCTGTTTAAAGCACTCAGTAGAGGGCTGATTTTTTCCTTTAAGACATGCACTCTTGAATCCTACAGCAACTGAGTGCTTGTTTAGACAGCACAAGAAGAGGTGAGAGTGCGACTCCTAGCCTTAATGTGGGAGGGCGGTTCCAGTCACTCATCGGCTTTCGTTATTGTGCAGAAATATTAGAAAACCTCATTGATTAATTTTATGTATTTGAATATCAGCGAATTGAAATTTTCCATAATTATTGTTAATTTGTAACCACATCCAGTGTCATGCTTACTCCTTAGAGAGTTCAGATGAATTCTTAAAATTAAAAAAAAATCTCCATAGTTCTAATTTTGTTTCTTTATGTAGTTTGCATTTGATATTAGTGCTTGCAATTGTATTAAAATCAAAAGCTGATTTTTATGGCATACAGAAATAGGAATGCCACTTTTTCTTTTACTTTGTACCAATAATTTAAAGATTGATATGCTAAAAACAATTTGCACAGCACTGAAGCATGAGCTAGTTTCATCTAAATCTGTAAAAATATGAAAGATTTTATATTTTTTCACTGGGAAGAAATTCTTCCTGGATGAAATTACAAATACGTGTAGAATATATTTAATAAAAGACTTATAAAATACCTAACTATAGGACTTAAATATAGATTGGCGTGTAGTATATAGAACAATATTCCATATAAATAACTTTAGCCTCTATAAAAATGAAGTTGCAGACTGACATTACATTCTGTACTAAGTGTCAACAGCCCTTACAAACATTAAATGTAAATGGTTTCAAATGGTCAGCATTGTTTAAATGTAATCAGGTTGTTTTATTCATTGTTAATGCTTTGATGAAAAGGCTTTATATGCAGTAGGTCCACAGAAATATTGTTCATACAGATCAAAATTAAATTTGTATAGAGCAGAGTTTTAAAACAAATGTAAATAGCACTAAACATTTTCTTTCAGCAACCTGTACTTACAGATTCTTCCTGTAAACTAAATAAAAACAAAAAATCATATTGTATTTTGGTGGTAATTTTAAAGGTCTTGATTAGGTAAATAATTGTTTAAGCACTGTCTCGTTCTTTTATTTCTTAAGCTTTTAAAATTCATTTAATTAATATTCTGTTTTTGGTTTGGGGGGTATTCCCAATGTATCTTTGATATTTAACCTGGTTAATTTGTACACAGTCACAACAATGGATAGAATTTTGTAGTCTCTGTTAATCACTAAAATGTTATATTCAAGAGATGTTAAATATTTATATGCTTTGTTGACTAGCTGAAATGTGAATTCTGTTAGTGTTGACTAAAGAATCTGGTAGTTGCTTAATTGGGCAATTAAACAATTTATGGCTCTATTCTTTTGTAAAACCAACTAGTAATTTTAATACCTATTTTCATTCTAATTACTTTTTTTAAGTTAAAGACTATCAGTTAATTAAGATTTTGTTTTTATGATGGTTAAAAATAATTCTCTCAATTTTTCAATATATTTTTCTGTGTTCTCTCAGATTATATATTTCCCTCAATTTAGAGTTTTTGATGTGGGATAAACTGTTTCACTAGTAGAGAAAGAATTGTGTCGCTTAATACCTAATATCATAGTTGTACAACATGAAAAAAGAATAAAAGTAGCAGTAAAATTATATACTGAAAACACCAAAAATTTAGATGCCTTAATAGTATATATGTGAAAATACTCAGCTGTCCCTTTCAAAATAATTCCTTGGACTGCCTGATGGTTAGAATATGATTACTCATATCCATGGCTACTTTTGAATATCCCTCTGCCAAAAATACAGCTCACTTATCTAAAGGTGAGAGCTGCACAGATCCAGTAATGTACATAAAGCCTGAAGGATGAGCCTGTGCCCCTGCCTGACGCTGGTGTCTCACTCATCTCTTACCTAAATTGTCCTAAATGTTGTCAGGTGTTCTGCACAAGGCAAAGCTTTTCTTTATTAAAACCTCAGCATGTCTCCCTGATCTGAACTATTTGCCTTCTTTTCAAGATAAATTGTATTTTACCATGAAAAATACAGTATCTAACATTACCATTCACATTAAATGAAGTTTCCTCGTAACATTTATCTTAAGTTTTATGAATTCATCTTGACCAATGTTACTTAGCTGATTGTGGTAAACAATGTTTAATGTGCAAAGAAATTAAAACTTTCTTCATCTGTTGTAGAATATTTCTCTTCTTTAAAACAACTTCTATTCCTAATTCTGGTGTATTTGCCTATTCTTTATTTCTCTACTATTTTTGTCTTTTTTCTTTGTCAGTTTATGATACTCTTCAGTAAAATCCAACATTGAGCTAGCCTTTACTCTGCTATGGTTTAGCAAAATCAAAGAGAAGTATCAGCCAAAATTCAATATGCCTTCATACTGTCTTTATTTGTAACTTTTGCGAGCATTCCAGTTTTGTTTTGTTTTTTTCATCTGTGTGTTGTAATGTGGTCACTTGGCAGCCAAACGGAATGATTGGGGTGGGAGGTGGCCTGAGAGAAGGCACATGACCTGTAATTACAAACACAGCTACAATTGAAACACAGCTGCAGGCTGTGCTGGAACCTAGGCACAGCTTTTATGGCCACGGAAGGGTGGGGTTCTTGGGCATGAGCAGTTGGTGGTTGGCTGTAATTCCTGGCTTACCCTAGGCCCCACCACTTGGTGTGCTTTCCTCAGAAGGCAGCGGCTTCTAGGAAGCCCTTTACACAGAAGGTGGTAGGTTGACTTCTGAAAGAGATCATGGATAGAACTAAGAGACGTCTAATTCTTAAATATCAGAGTTTAATCCAGTACTAAACTGTGAAAATTAATTTCATTTATTACATTATTTTGTAGTCTTCGACAGTGATGTTTGTCTTTTAATTTTTCCTGTTCTGCCTCTTTTTTAAAATAACAGCTTTCAAGAAATATGGAGTGGGCATAGTAAATTCCCATTTGGGGAAAGGAAATGCCCATCTCTTTCATATGAGTCAACCAATAAAAAAGGAGTTGGGTAGACACATTTTCTCAAATGGCTGTGGAAGTGGTTTGTTGTTAGAAGTCTTAGGCCAAGAGTCTGGCTGGTTTTAGAATGTAATTATACATTCAAACATTATTTGGTATCTTTTATTTTCTACACACGTTCTTGGAGCTTATTTGATGTAAGGGAAGTCTTACGATGGTAGTGGGAGAAACTTAGCTATAGTTAAATAATACATGGAGGCGGCAGAACCTAGAGGGGAGCCAGGACAAACCGTAGCAGAGCAAGACTCTCAGAATTCTTGTAGGAACATACAGAAGACATCTGGGAGTTCAGTTCTCGGTTTTCTGCCAGATGAGATGGTTTTTCTTTTTCTCTGCATGCTGAAGCCTGGTTCCCCTTATATCCTTCCTTATCACATGGTTTTCCCTGGGCATCGCTTACCTGGATTCCACTAGTTAGGATGCCACTCTCCCCCAGTGTTTCTCAGAAGCATTTTTTTGAAGTCTGATAATTTTAACACATCTGCATTTTGACTGTTACTGTTCTTCAGTCCTCAGAGTTAAGAAAACCTCAAGAATAGCTGGGCTTTCGAGTCAGCCTGGCTTTGCTCTGGGTGACTTTGAAAAAGTTACTTAATATTTGAGCTTCAGCTTTTTCATATATAAAATAAAAATAACACCTAGTTTAGAGGGTTGTTGTAAGGATTATTTTTAAATAAATATTCAGGGAACTGCTTTGCCCAAGAACTCATGACAAACTAGCAAACCTGTCAAAAGACTTTATGTTGGAAATAAAGTGCTGGGCACAAACATATACTCTAAACTTTGAGAAAGTAACTTATGAAAAAGCCAGAGAAAATGTGGATGATACTGTGTTCATTTAAAAGGAAGATGAGTGGGGAGATCTCAAAAATAAACTCTTGGAATAGAAGGAAAATAGGGACCCAGTAGTGACTCAGCTTCAGATGTATGTATGCGACATACCAGGTCATAGAGCTTGGACATGTTAACGTAAAGACATAAATATGACCGTCAAAATCTGAGATGCTGTTTGTTACTAGGGTACAAAAATACATTACTGTTAAAAAGAAATGGGTCTAATAAAGCTGGAAAACTACAATATATCAAGAATACACAAAAGAAACTCAGACCTGAGAGGGTAATTAAATGGGGAGTATGTGGATAATGATGAAAAAAGACAAAAATATGATTGTCGGGTTATATTGTCCTTCATCAGATTAAGGCTGTGAATTTCTGTTCTGAATCTGCAACAGGAAAACACTGAGACAAGATATGGTAGTGATGCAGTAGTTTGGCTATACTGGACCTTGCTGGATGCCTTGTTTCCTAAGAGTCCGATTAACTCTTGACTTGCGATAATGCCATCCCGTTAGGTTACCAGAAGTAACAAAAGAAAACTTCTCTGGGATTCATTTTGGCCCAGTGGGAAAGAATGATTCTAGAGAAAATGTTTTGAGCCTGCCGTGAAAATAGGTGTGCACTCAAATGTTGGTAATGATGAAACTAAGGCGGACACTGGTGATTGCTTCTCCAGCATCCCTGCTTCTTGCTGGGATATTGAGTGGTCACTTTGCTTTCCCTTCTTGTGGCTTAGGGAAGTAGTATGTTCCCAGCTCTGTTACCTTTGGTGTAATTGCTTTAGAAGTGGCCATGGGACTCCATCCTGGCAAAGGAGACATAAGGGAACTCTGCTGAGGGTGTTTGTGGTGAAAGTTCCTTCACTCCCAAGGACATTATTTTGCCTGGATGTGATGATTGAAACTGCTACAGCCACATTGGGACTCAGAGGGGAGCTAGGCTTAGGGTAAAGCCAGCACATTGAAGGTGTAGAGGAGAAAGGAAAAAACCTGCCCTTGCAGAGCTGCTTTTTTTTTTAGCCTTTAAGTTGAGGTGTATATGTACAGGTTTGCTATATAGGTAAACTCGTGTCACAGGGGTTTGTTATACAGATTATTCCATCACCCAGGTATTAAGCCTAGTACCCATTAGTTATTTTTCCTGATCATCTCCCTCCCATCTTCTACCCCTCTGGTAGATCCCAGTGTCTGTGGTTCCCCTCTATGTGTCCATGCGTTCTCATCAATTCACTCCTACTTATAAGTAAGAACATGCAGTACAGGTATTGGGTTTTCTGTTTCTGCATTAGGTTCCTAAGGATAATTACCTCCAGCTCCATCCATGTCCCTGCAAAGGACATGATCTCATTCTTTTTCATGCTGTATAGTATTCCATGGTGCATATGTACCACATTTTCTTTATCCAGTCTACCACCGATGGGCATTTAGGTTGATTCCATGTCTTTTTTATTGGGAATAGTGCTGTACTGAACATATGCATGCATGTATCTTTATGATAGAATGATTTATATTCCTTTGTGTGTGTATACCCAGTAATAGGATTGCTAGGTTGAATAATATTTCTGTTTTTAGGTGTTTGAGGAAACGTCACACTATTTTCCACAGTGGTTCAACTAATTAACACCTCACCAACAGTGTATAAGTGTTCCTTCTACACAGCCTCTCCAGCATTTGTTATTTTTTGACTTTTATTTATTTTTTACTTATTATTTTTGAGACTGGGTCTCACTCTGTGGCCCAGTCTGGAGAGCAATGGCGTGATCTCAGCTCACTGCAACCTCTGCCTCCTGGGCTCAAGTGATCCTCCCACCTTAGCCTTGTGAGTAGCTGGGACTACAGGCTTGTGCCTGGCTAACTTTTTATATTTTTTGTAGGGATGAGATTTCTCCGTGTTGCCCAGGCTGGTCTCAAACTCCTGTGCTCAAGCAGTCCACCTGGGATTACAGGCAAGAGCCACCACACCCAGCCTATTTTTTGACTTTTAAGAATAGCCATTCTGATGGGTGTGAGGCGGTATCTCCTTGTGGTTTTGATTTGCATTTCTCTAATGATGAGTGATGAGCGTTTTTTATATGCTTGTTGGCCATGTGTAGGTTCTCTTTTGAAAAGTGTTCATGTCATTTGCCCATTTTTTAATGGGGTTGTTTACTCTTGTAAATTTGTTTAAGTTCCTTTTAGATGGCTAGATATGAGACTTTTGTTAGATGCATAGTTTGCAAAATTTTTCTCCCATTCTGGAGGTTGTCTGTTTACTCTGTTGATAGTTTGTTTTCCTGTGCAAAGGCTCTTAAGTTTGATTAAATTCCGTTTGTCAGTTTTTGATTTTGTTGTGATTGCTTTTGGTGTCTTCATTATGAAATCTTTGCCCATTCCTATATCTAGGATGGCATTGCCTAGGTTGTCTTCCAGGACTTTTATAGTTTGGGGTTTTACATTTAAGTCTTTATTCCATCTTGAGTTGATTTTTTGTGATGTAAGGAAGGGGTCCAGCTTCAGTCTTCTGCATATGGCTAGCCAGTTATCCCAGCACCATTTATTAAGTAGGGTGAACTTTCCCCACTGCTTGTTTTTGTAAGGTTTGTCAAAGATCAGATGGTCATAGAATGCAGCCTCATTTCTGGGCTCTCTATTCTGTTCCATTGGTCTATGTGCCTATTTTGGTTACTGTAGCCCCATAGTATAAAGTCAGGTGGCATGATGCCTCTGATGTCTCCAGCTTTGTTCTTTTTGCTTAGGATTGCCTTGGATATTGAAGCTCTTTGTTGGTTCCATATAATTTTTAAAATAGTTCTTTTCTGGTTCTGTGAAGAACGTTATGGGTAGTTTGATAGGAATACCAATGAATCTATACATTGGAGGAGCTGCTGACTTTGTTCAGTGTGGAACCCGATGCTCTGTACTTCTTGAGAAGTAGTAATCTGTTCATTGGAGCTTTTACCTTCTTCCAATTCAAAGCACAGTATACATAAAGAGAGTGTTAGACATGAACACCTCCAAACCTTATGAAATTAGCTTTTAAAAAGATGAGAGAAAATATGAAGATGATTCTGTGTGTTCAGGTCTCTGAAAAATAAATATCTGCTGTATAGTCACAAATTATTCTGATGAAAAGAGGCATCTGAAGAGACCATTGTGGGTACACGTCAGCTCTCCAATCTCACAATTTTAAAAGACATGAACAGAAAATGGGAGTTCAGATATATAAATCAAAGAGGAAGATAATAAGTGCCAAACACTTCTGAGAATAACGTTGGAAACACCTGGGATGAGCTGGAGTCATTTTGCTGTGCAGAGACTCTTCAGTTTGATTAAATCCCGTCTGTAAGTTTTTATTTTTGTTTTGATTGCTTTTGGTGTCTTCATTATGAAA